GCGTAAGAAGTTGCTCCTAACTATTTACGGGTCAGGAGCAGGGTTTAATCAAAGAAAATGCCTTTGGCTGCTACATTTCCATAAACAGACAGGAAACACTTCTCTGACAAACTGGCTTCTAAAAAATCTGTCAGATAAATTCTGGTTTCGCCACGTAACGGTTCAAGTCAGCATTACAGATGTCATGTTTGCGTTACCCCTAAAACTGTCTGCGCTGTGCAGGAAAAGAAGAAGAAAAACTCTCTCAGGATTGAAAGTTGGGTAACTCTTGGGAAGTTAATGTGCCAGTTTATAAGCCTGAAAACTCTCATTTAACTCTCATTTGAACATTTAAGTCTTGATGTTGGAGGCTTTCAACCTAATTGGAATGATCTCATGTTTGGACAAAGAAACCCAAACTCTGCTCTACTCTAAATGTTTCTCTTTGTCTTATCATTCAGACTCCTCTGCTCCTGCACTCCTCCAGCCTTCTCGCCTCCCGGGCCTCTCTCTCTTTCTCTCTCCCTGTCCAAATATTTCAGACAGCAGGCCTCAAGTATGGTGAGGTGTTTTGGGTGTCTCTTTAGGTGGGCTGCAGCTGATGATATGATTGTGCGGTCAGCACTGCCGAGCACAGACCACCCAGCAGGCTGCTGCCGTAATAATGGCCAACAGGCCAGGCAGGAAACAGGAAACAGGATGAAGAAGGGCAGGACATCCTGTTCATCTAGATCACTGTGTTAAACATGACATCACGAACGCATCGACATCTTAACGGAGGGTTACCTGAGCGGAGGCCGAACACTTTGTCGGCGTGCTCTTAACTAACCTCTGCTCAAATAAATTTCCATCTGCGTTCTCTCTGCGCGCGTATCTCTCTCTGTTTTCATGTGCATCTGTCTTCTCAGTTTGCCTTTTCAGCCCTCACACTGACACTGTTTTCCAGACTGCTCCATCATCGCAGACATCAAATCCTACCCTCTTCAGTGTGAGAATAAAGGAGAAAAAGAAAAACAAGCATTTTCATTTGAATATACACCAGCAACAACCTCACAAAACTCAGACGAAGGGAAAAAAAACAAAAAAACACGTACGCACACAAAAGCACAAAGATTCCAGCGCACGAATACACAGAGACAAGACGCAAAGTTGAAAACGCACACACACACACCTCCCAGACACACAGCACACACTGACAGACAAACACACAAAAGAAACAGCAAACACAAAGCACAGCACAGCCAGAAGTCTACTTTATGCAGAAATATTCTAAAGTGTGTTTTACAATACAATTAAACATCAAAGGCTGATATATTCCTCTGTGATCTTTAACACCCCAGTGAACAAACCCCACACACCCCCATCCACTTACAGCATACAGAGAAAGTTGCTGAACGTCACTGCTAATTACTAGATAGAGACAGAAGAATACTTTGCATCATTATGCAAAAACCAGGACATATTCAAATATATGCATTCAATCCACCAAAAAACCATTCAAGGACTGCATTATTTACTTTTTGATTTTTGTGTGTGTGCGTGTGTGTGTATGTGTGTGCGTGTGCGTGTGGTAAGTTTTATGAGTAATTGCAGCTCTTATGAGAAGATACACAGACAGTGCTCCTAAGGCAAAGATGCATTTGGATAAACATTTCTAACACGCACAACAGTTAGGACAATGAAAGCGAGATCTGCTGAAGACGAGTAAGTAAACACATGGTGAGGTTGAGCCCTGCGTATTTCACTGCTACTATAAAACGTATGAAAAGAGAAAAAAAAGAAAGAAAAAAAGAGAAAAAAAGGAGACTATTCCTCCCATGCAGCAACTAGAGAACACCTGCCATGTGCAATAAACAGGAATGCAAGAAGCCTTTAAGTTATTATAAAACATAAGCATTTTCATCTGCTTATAAATTGGCAAGAAGAATTGTTTTCTCAACAAATGCCTTAATATTTCTGTTATTTATGCGAGGCAAATTTTACTACACACACAGCCTGCACTTTATTGCGTTACATATGCTGCTAAACCAATTAAACGTTTTCACATGCGGGATACACAAGGTCGTCTCGCAGCATTTTAAGACGTTTTCTTACGTTATGAAGCATTGCATGTGAGGCAAATACAAATGTCTACATCTGAGTCTTATATCAGCCTCTCATTTGAGCCAAAGGGCATGAAGTCCACTTAAGAGTTCTTCAATATCTACCTCACGATCTTGCCAACCGGCAATCTGCAAATGAATGTTTTACTGATGTTTAACTGAGTAAACTCTGCAAACTTCTTCCAAAATATTTGAAGCCATTAGTGAAAAAAAACAAAAACTTTAAAGCACAGCTAAAGGGGCTTTTAAACTGTTTGCTTAAACATAAATACATTGGTTGTCTCCATTAAGGAAAAATGTTTTCATAGATCTGGTTTTCCATAAGGTGGGGATCTTTGAAATGTGCCTCTTGTACAGTATTAAATGTCTATGTGAGCAGAGATCAGGGAGCACAGTGGTATAGTTTACACCTTTTTCCCCCCTGAAGATGGAAACTTGGTAGCAGGAATAGAAGTTACCACCAGTAAAACTAATTTATGGGTGTTAAATTACACATTTATAAGCAATATATTAGGCATTTCAAATGACAAATATTTGCTAATTATGCTGATTTTGTTGCAGTGCCTTGAAAACACATGGAATTACCCTGACCGTGGCATACAATGTGTTCCCTTCCTTCACTTAACTAAAGCTTTACTGAGCCCCTGGCGTACAGCAAAGTGCCCTGACAATCGGCTCAATGCCCTGGCCAATCACAGAGACACGTGACCTTCTAATCCCTCTCTGTGAGAAGGGTAAGAGTGTGTTGTCGCTGTTGGTTTTGTGAATCAGCGCCTAAAATCCCAAATGATTTGTCAAGATGGAGAGGTCTTAAGAGAATAAGAGAAACAAAAGCAGCGCAGGCCAAATAGTGTGGGTGTTGATGCATGTGTGTAAAAGTGTGTGTGTAAAGAGGGAGAGAGAGAGCGAGAGAGAGAAAGGAGACAGAACATGCTTTTGTGCACCTGTGTGTGTTTGCGCACGACTGCATACAAGTGTCCGTGTGTGTGTGTGTGTGTGTGTGTGTGTGTGTCCGTGTGTGTGTAGAGGGTCTCTTAGATTACAGAGCTTGGCTGACAGACTTCTCAGTGTGTAATCGTGGGTCCACATGCAAGTGCTCACCTTCCTCTGAGCGGATTAACCTATCGCTAAATCCCAAGAGAGCAACAGGCCAGACAGGCCACATAGAACAACTTCATTGACGATAGTCAGAAAAGGAAAGCCACACTTATGATGTTGTTTTCTAAAAAAAATATAAATGAATGCACTCTGACTTTTTTAAGACTAAAAAGTTCACATAAAAGTTTAATAAAGGGTTACTGGACAACTGGACACCACGTTCCCTTCAGAAGTTCTTAAAAATCTTAAAAATTACATACGCCTTAAAACACGGAGCATCTCTCTTTTTTTTCCTGAAAGTGAACTGAGAAATGCAGTCAAGCGGTACGCAGTGTGTTTTAAACGCACACATTAAATAAGCTGGTATACAGCTACACACAGAAACACTTTTACCATTCTGTAAGTGCCTTAAAATACCTCATTTACATAGCTGTTATTTTAAAATTAATTTAATAGTTTAATGAATCTCAAAATATTCTCTAAAAGTTACATTAATTATATTTAATTTCAAGCAGTTATCACTATATTAAAGCCCTGTTCATTTCTTACTTTTTTATATAATTTATTTCACAGACAAAACTGTGTTTCAGCTTAAGAACTAATTCAGCTCAATATAAGTAAAGAGATAAACGTTTATCCTCACATTTGGCATACGTTTTTTTGTCCACAGCCAACTCAATCCCAAAATCTATCTAAATGAAAATGAAATGTATAATAGTAATTTTAAATGTCACTGCAAGCCCGAGTTTCTCTGCACATTACATGGTGGGCCTCGTGTCCGCACACTTTAAGTGTAAAACAAAGAATCCATTTTTAGCTCCAAAGCTGAAACCTGAGAAAAGTTGCCACAAGTTAATTGTAGCCTCGTGATTTTTCCTCTCATCGCAACAGGTTTAGTTGAGCAACGTGAGGCTTAACCAAACTCGCAATATGAATTTAATCATACTTGCTCTCTTGTAATAAGTCAGTCTCAGTCACAAAGGCACAGAGAAGAAATTATAGTTGAGCCCGAACAGCCAAACCTCCTGTAAAACACTGATTTACAGCACAGTCCGCCGTGTCGCTCATCTACATAAATTTACATCCAAATAAGTGTAAAAGAATGTTTTCCCCTGTATTGCAGCGATGATATGATTAGCTATTTATTTAATAATTATCAAAGCTTCCTACATAATATACCGGTTTAAAGTTTAGCACGGCATAATTGCCATCAGTTCACCTCAGTTTAGAACGTTTATTTCGTGCGCAAAGAATATCCACAAACTAGGATCACTGTTTCCCTAATCTGTTGCTTTGATGGAAATCTGAGATGTAAAAACTTGTGCATCTCCTTTTGCCTTTGTCATTTTGTTTGAGGTAGACTGAACGCTACATTTTACAACCCAAATGTAACTTTTCATATGCCACCCTGCCCAAAGGCGCAAAAAGGGGGCATAAAGTATAGTGTTAATGTGACCAGCCTGTTCACTGGCTTCTGGACTGTGCGCCTGCATGTGGACGCGAGAAAGCTGCACAAGGTCGACACAGCAGTGACACCTAAAATCACCACACGGATCTCCTAATACACCATAACCAGTGATTTGATGTCGCTCGGTAACTATATTACATTGCTGTTACCGGCACGAGTCGAAAGGGGGTCACAACAAATCAATACACGCAGTTGCTGTACTTTGTCAGGGGAGACAACGCGCATCAAACTAGACCCTCAAGTTTCCCCTTACGGAACATTTCAAATAAAATAAACAATAATTTTTTAAAGAACCATACGATGGAGTGAGGTGTTTGCCAGTGAGTGCCAAGTGGTGCAAGTGCGGTACTTACTTTATCTGAAATCTTGTCCCGAGTGAAGCGAGAGAAGGCTACAACAAGCGGTCCGCCGGGTGTTTGGTCCGGCCGTTTGACAGGAAGGTTGGAGCCGCTGCTTGATGGGGGACGGAGTTCGCCGAGACGCACTTAAAATCCAGGAGCGCAACTAAGCAGGAGGACGGCGCCGAGAGGAAAAAAAAGTAACCTACAATACGTGGTATGAGTCCCTATAATGTCAGAGAAAACTACCCCTCTCTCTCTCTCTCTCTCTCCCCCCCCTCTCTCTCTCTCTCTCTCTCTCTCTGATCCGACAGAGCTCGCTCAGGAGGCGCTGAGGACGCACCGTCTGGTCTGCTAGTGCGTAGTACCGGTGAGCGGCGAGGGACTCGGTGGAGCGGCTGTGTTGGAGGTGGTGCCGGTATTAGTACTGGACGTCTGAAGCTTAATAGTGATGTTGCGAAGCTGTTTCTGTTCCTCCCCACAATCCCGACCAAGTCTTTCCCTAAACCTTCTGCTCTCCTGCGTGAAGAAATAATCGATTTTTTCCTCTCTACCCCTTTTCTTTTTTTAAAAAAAAAACTCCTGAAAGGGGGCGGTCTCACATTTCCCAACTCCACTTTTAATAAACGAGGCAAGGCTCTTAACGCTTTATTATCGCGCCAGGCCCGACGGAGTGGACACAATTAGTGCTGAGAGAGGACCGCTAGAGGAGGAGGAGGAGGATGAAGATGGGGCATGTGTTCTTTAACTAATGATGTCACGGAGAGCACCCCGAGGTCTGCAGGCGACAGCATGCGATGAAACCCGTACCGCGAAAGTTGTGTTTCGCTCAGGCAGGTTAAGTTTCCAGCCTCTTGTTTCATGCGAGTCACATCAGATGCCAAGTACACCAAAACTTAAGTCTGTCGTAGCAAGAAGCAAAACACTTCAGCGTGTTTCAGCACCTTTAGTTTTTTGTTTTTTTTTTAGAAAATATTTCAAAAACGACACCATTTTCTACAAACACACACTCACAGATGATCCAACATCACTCATTATTTTAACAATAAGAGTTTAAGATTAATTATCACATTAAATGACATGATTCTTCCCTCAATGCGATTTTGCTGGAAAAGTAGGAGCAACTTTAGCAACTCCCGAATAATGCCATTTTCTAATTCTCAACAATTCCTTGGATGTCTGCTCTGCCTCCTTTCTCAGACGCTGCAACACTTTTGCACATGCTGCACCCCGCCAATCATTCTTAGGGACCCAGCTATCTCCTACAGATAAGCCCTGACAGAGACAGTAAGCATTGGGGAATTGCCAAGCCTTTATCCGTCCAACCAAATGATTTCAAAACATCCACTCTATTAGTGTGAAGATAACAATTAGAACAGCAAGTTTGCCACTTCAGATAAGACACAGACAGGCAGTGCACTGGCTCTCTGTACAGAGATGTATACCAGATAGGCCTCATAATACCAGAGTTCTATTATACTCACATTATATGGGTGCCGTATCACGGTTTTAGGATTTTTAATGGCTGCCCTGAATGGAGCTTGTTACGCTACAATACACCGTTAGGCCCCATTGTTGACTTTATATCAATTTAACATTGAAAAAGGGAAAACATTATCACAGGCTTCCAAAAGTTTCTTCCATCCTGATATTTTAACAAACCAAAAAAAAAAAAAACCCCAAAAAACACTTGTGGTCTATATACAGTTAAACAGCAAACCCCTTTCTCTTTATTAGCTTTGCACTGTAAAAGCAATACAGACTGCGTGCTGTGTAAATAGACGCCGAGTGACTCCATAATCTTCCCTTTTGAAGTTCACCTACAACGCATAAGCTATGCAAGCAGTCAGCCACCCAGTCAATCAGTTATTCAGTCAGTGAGGGTAGGAAATGGTAAGACATCAAGTAATAAATAAATCAAGCTGGCTAATCTGCTTGACGGGTGAACATTACAGCCTGTAACCGAAGCCGCTGGTGTCTGATGACTCTGAATGCCACCTTCACATCACCTGACCCTTTAATCTTTAATAGCATTTCCTCTGGTCCCTAGACCTCCATACTAATCAATAAGGCGCTGTTGGACACAGCAAGTTCATAAACGCGACACGGCAGATATCAACGGCGTTACATGTCAGCATGTATGAAACGGCGAGTTCACAGAGTCACAGTTTCAACAGACATGATTTCCTCCTTTCAGACTTCTTCTGGTGCTCGCACCTGACAGTTGCAGTAAGTCTCCAAAATATATGGATAGCTGTGGGTGCTTATGTGGTTGTACATACCACATGCAGTGTTCCTTCTACTTCTTCTTCTTCTTCTGTTCGTGCCCTCCCTCTTGTAGCTTTCTATGCTGTTTGCGAGAAGCTCACTGAAGAGGTCCTTTCAGTGTTCCCAGTGCTTGAGGTCGTCATTTGGTTAGCACCTGAGAGGAGAAGCAAAGTAGGCAGGCACGGTGAGAAGAAGAGTGAACCTGCCAGTGAAGTGCTTACTGCTTCTGTGTAAGAGTAGGCACTTGCACATAGTGTGCAAAGATCTATGTTAACATCTGTGTAACGTGTGTGTGTGTGTGTGTGTGTGTGTGTATGATAGCCATGTGAAACAGAGAAAAAAATGGGGGGATGTGGAATACATTTGAATGGTGAAAAATCATTAAATGAGGCAAACACTGGCTCATGCTTATTCATAAATGACTGACTTGTCTACGGGGATAAACCTATGGTGAAACCATACTAACAGCCTCCCTCAGTTCTCATACATTTAATGCAAAATAGGGAAGACCTGCTGTATATTTTGCTCTTGAGACTACTGAGCACAGGGCTAAGGCTAAATATCTATATCTATATGTATTATATACAGCATTATAACCAGGCTGATATTAATCCACATTGCAGAGCTGAAGGTGTGCCACATTGTGCTATTAAAACTGATAAATTTAGAGTTAGTTACACAATGACTGTGTGCAAATAAGCAGAGCGCGTCGTAAGTTAAATATTATATGTTTTGGCATTTGTGTTATCTTAAGACAAACTATTTTCTCATTAATCAAAATGAGCGAAATTATTAGTTTCTTGCCATCTGAAACTTTCCCAGACCTACTCATTAGCCATTGTCCCTCCCTCCTACATGAATCCTGAACTTGTGTTCTGAGGAGTGTGTTTGCGAGTGTGTTGGAGTGTGGGTTGACAGTCTCATCAAAGCCTGGTGGAGGAAAAAAAATCAGTTTAAGAGTTTGCCAAACAATTATGTAATTTCAAAATATGTCACAGTGTGCATAAACACACACTTTAGGCTTTCGGGTAAATTCAGTTTCGTGAGGTTTGGCTTCGGCTGTGCATAAAAAGTGAAACAGGGGAAACTGCGACTGGATCTTAAGTCAAACATATAAGTGCGGTTTGCTGATATTGATCTTGGTTGGATTGTTTCTTAAGCCTCTCCTGGCAGCCACTTCACAGCATGTGTCACACGCACGCACCGAACGCACACGTGCAGAACAGCTTGCCTAAAAATGTATGTGTGCGCGCACGCCCGTTTGTTTTTGGTAACAGAGGGAGAAAGAAAGAAATGCCTCTCTCAAGCAAAAGATAAACACAAACACATTTCCAGGGCAAACAAGAACAGCCCGGGCTCAGTGCAATCTGTTGTCGATCATGCTCACGTGAAAACACAATCTGCCTGTCACAGTAGATGATGTTGTCAAGCGCTCTGCCTCACTGCTCCTGAGAATTAGCCAGCGATTACAGAAGCACTACGAAACACACAGAGTATTTGTTGTATGTCGGATATGTCTGAAGATGCTTGCAGCTTTATTTGGTATTTACCGCTTTCTCTTCCTGCACTCGTTCCCTAATGAATTTTAGACACGTTTGTTTTTTTGACAATAGATTGATGCTACATGATGTGACGACCAAAGGCTTCACAGAAAGCACAGAAAGACCTGCAGGCCAATTTAACTCACATGCTCAGCTGGGAATCCACAGATCTCACTTTTGCAGGTGGAGATGTCTTATGGGTGTTTCAAGGGCAATCACAGCAACATTTTTTGACTCGGTATATTATGCTAAAAATTCAATGCATATTTATTTTAAAAAAATAATTTTTTTATTATTCTTATTCAGCCTTATTGAAATGCATCACATATTATGTATCATTATAGTTAGGGTTATGGCAAACCTAGATTGATTAAAGAAATTTGGAAAAAAACAAACAAAAAACTGTATAATAATTAAAACGTTATTCATAATTGTGAATCATTTGCACGTGCTATGTGTATGTAATGTGACAGTATACATTCAAGAGCACAAATATCGAGGAATCCATAACATGGTCCGTTATTTTATACAATTATTAAACTATAACGTCATTCATTCTTTGTTCATTTGAAATCCTAGTATCTAAGCCATGCAGTTCTCACTCAGCCTCAACATCTGGGCTCTGTTCTCAGGAAAAACACACCTGCTTTAGAAAATGAGAGACATTCCCCCGCTGATCTGTGTTTGGTCTTTGGGTAAGTCATCTAAAGCGTGGTATTATAAATAATTTGAAGCTCCTTATTAATAAGTATTATAATGAAACTCACAGGGCAATATCATCAGTAATTATAGTCGAAGGAATTGTACTACAGTACTTTATAATTAAGGGAGCAAAGGTTAGAAAATCAGGTTTAATTAACTGAAATCATATTTCTCCTTGTTATAATATATATAAAACAAAGAGAGTCATATAACCATGAGGAAGTATTTATTTGCACTTACGAATGTTTTTTTTAAAATTTTATATGTGAACATGCAATTCAGCTATTAGGCAATATCTCCTTGTTCATTTTATTTCTGAAAGAAAGCAGCGACGCAGTTCTGCCTTAACTTGGCACTCATGCCTCGAGGTATTTTGCCTCTGCAAGAATCAGTTGTATGCAAATGTAAAAAGACTTGATCAAGATACACATATCATATATTCATTTCATCTACATCATAACTTTAGGTCACTATTGTATCACTTTACAAGAAAACAGATTTTTAAAAACTGTTGTGTCAAATATTTCTACATCCTGTAGTTTTACTTGTTATATCTTGAAATGTAATAAATAACAAGAGAAGTGACCTGATATATTTCAGTGAAACTGTATACGGTTTTAATTTTAATAACACATTTTTTTTTCTACCATGTGGCTACATCTTTAATAATATCTATCATCCAAAACTGCAATGGCTACATAACAAGCCCTTAACAAGCAGTGTCAGTCAGAGACAGCTCGGGTGATTTGCATGTGTTGCGTTTAACCAACACTATTCTGTCTGTACACCTTTCCTGCATTATGGATGAGGCACAAGCTGAACAACAAATTCTCCCTTTGTTCTTCTTGATTCTCTGGTTACATCACAGGAAAAGCTCCATGGTCCTGTCTGTGACTGCAATGGCGCACTGAGACACAGCGATGCTGGGCGCGCTGTTAATCAGACCTGTTGCTTCTTCGCTTTGTTATATCGCATCTACGTGGGCTTTTCGACACGCAGAGACACAGACCACAAAGCAA